CGCGACAACAAGAAGACGCGCATCATCCCGCGCCACCTGCAGCTGGCCATCCGCAACGACGAGGAGCTCAACAAGCTGCTGGGCAAGGTGACGATCGCGCAGGGCGGCGTGCTGCCCAACATCCAGGCCGTGCTGCTGCCCAAGAAGACTGAGAGCCACCACAAGGCCAAGGGCAAGTGAAGAGCTGAGTTGCTCTACAATGATATGAATTCCCGGAAAACAAAGGCTCTTTTTAGAGCCACCCACGTAGTCATTAAAAGGGCTCACAATAGGTACAATAAGTAATTTTTCGTACTTTCTTATTCGTGGGGTAAAATTTATTAGAAGTATGGCATAACAGGAACGTAATCCTAATTCTCAGGCTAGTTTATCAGGCAATTGCAGCTCATTACTGCAATCTTTCTTCAGAGGTGGAAAATCACAAGGTCTGGTAATGGAAAGAATGAATAGTCACTGAGATGCAAATATAGTTAGTGACCTAAGGAGTTTTAGGCCTGTAAGTAGTCAGTAATACCTTTGAAAGAGAATTTTGCATGTTACTGTGGCCATGTTTACCCAAAAGGCTTATACATGCTTTTAATAAACATTCTCCATTTACACATCCTGGCCCTCAATTGTAAATAAAAACATAAAACCACATTTGTTGAAGTCAAGTGGCCCTTAATCAGAACTGCTCAACCTGACTTTGAAAGGACATATGTTCTCCAGGCTATCCATAACTGGATATATTTTTTCAAAACGTTTACAGAAATAATGATGCCTTGGGTTTATGTGTGCTCTTATATCAGAACGCTATATTTTCATTGAAAGTGCTTATGTATTTTAACTTAGCATTGCTCATTTATATTGAACGGTCATACTACGTTTAGAACACGTTTCCGAGTTACCAGTTTACAAGTCAATATTTTTGCTGTGAGCTTAAGCTCTTTTCATAAAAGGGGAGTGAAAATCACTGGGCCAATAATGTCTTACGAGTTTTCAAAGAAAAGATGAAACAAAATCCAACTTTTGGGGCCCCGATTTTAAAATTTTCTTTTGTAAGCAATCTATTATCACTGTAATGACCAGGTAAAATTCTCCCAAACTCAGTGAAGGAACCTGTGAAACAAATGGCATGAGGACGCCACAAGGAACAAGTTAGAAAACAGCAGTTAAAAGAGAAGGACTAGAGAAATATGTTAATTTTTGTTTGTTTGTTTAAATGCTAGCAATGGTTAAGTGATCCGGAAGCAAAAAGAGCCACCAATGCTTGTGTTCGGAGCTGCAAGGTAACAGTTGCGTGGTCCAATCAGAATGAGACTCTCTTGATATATACATGACATCAAAAATGGCAAAGATATATACACACCCTTAGCTTTTGTGAGGCTCCATTTTCTTATCAGCCTCTTGTCTTACTGCGTTTATAATGGCTCGCACGAAGCAGACGGCTCGTAAGTCCACCGGCGGCAAAGCCCCGCGCAAGCAGCTGGCCACTAAGGCTGCTCGCAAGAGCGCGCCGGCCACCGGCGGCGTGAAGAAGCCTCACCGCTACCGGCCCGGCACCGTGGCGCTGCGCGAGATCCGGCGCTACCAGAAGTCCACCGAGCTGCTAATCCGCAAGCTGCCCTTCCAGCGCCTGGTGCGCGAGATCGCGCAGGACTTTAAGACCGACCTGCGCTTCCAGAGCTCGGCTGTCATGGCGCTGCAGGAGGCATCTGAGGCCTACCTGGTGGGTCTGTTCGAGGACACCAACCTGTGTGCCATCCACGCCAAGCGTGTCACTATCATGCCCAAGGACATCCAGCTGGCGCGCCGCATCCGCGGTGAGAGGGCTTAAAGATTTGTTTTTGAGCCATTGCAAAACTGAACCCAAAGGCTCTTTTCAGAGCCAACTACGTTTTCCATAAAAGCTGTGTAGCACTATGGTACTATTAAAATGACAGGTGCCTCACACGCATGCACAGCCCCCATCCTCGCAAAGGTAAAAGGATTAATTAGGTGGTAGTTTTGGCCTGGATTGCACTTCCTATTTTGGCACTGCTTTGGATCTGCCTGACTTCTGGGCTTAGTTACTTTGCTTATGGGACCTTTCATTTTATTTCAGTCCCCAGTCATTGTAGGCCTTATTTTCCCTAATCTTTTGGGGGCTGTAGCCGCTTCGGTTCCAGCAATTGAGGCTTTTCAGGGTCCTGCTTTTCCTCAGTGTGGACATGAGCCAGTCCATTGCCTTTCTGAGGTTTTTGAATGTTGTGGCCCTCTCACCCTTGTCCTGAGTTGAGCTCGAAGAGAAAAGCACAACATCCTCTGGCTATCCCATTATTTCTTAGGTGACCATGCTTGGAAGTGCTAGCTTGACAAAGTATTCTTTTATTAAGATCCCTAGTGCTTTGAGCTTGGCTAGAGAGAAGCCATTGCCTCCTTAGGCAAAGGTGTTGGGGGGATTCAAAGGATTTGATGTGATGATCTTAAATATAACGTGCTGGGAGGTCTTGTTCTTGGAGGCCTTGCCCCTCACCACCAATTTTTTTTTTTTTTTTTTCCTGTTGCAACGTTTCTGCTTAAAACAGAACTCTTGGAACATGCAGTTTCAGACAATTTTAGGTTTTAAGTGGCCACCCAGCTTCCAAATATAGTTGTTAAAGCCGCCAGCTTATGTGTGCAGTCATTTTATGCCATTCCCCACCTCACACTGGATGAGCTCTTTGCCTTATTTGAATTCCTACACTGAGCTCTTTAACAGCCATAGTAGTTTAGAGAGAATTATCTGCATACCTGTTCACTTTTAAGTCTGCCTAGTGGATTGTAAACACAAGTATGGAGTTGTGGCCTGCCTTCCTCCACTACTTCTCTCTCAATAGAATTTCACAGTGTAGTTCAGGCTGGCCTTCAACTCAGTGTAGTCCAAGTGTCAGCTCATCCTGCCTCAGCCTCCTGAATGCTGGAATCATAGGTGTGCACCTCCAAGCCCGGTGGGCTGCATGCAGCCATTTATACAAAAGAATGTGCTCAAATACACGTAGGGAGTTTCTAGAACTCAAACAGGATGTAACTAGAAGCTAAATTTCTCCTGTTGCTGCTTCTTTCCATCATGTCTGATGCTCAAATGTGTGTTTTCTGCACCACTGGGTTCTCTGCGCCCTGCAACTACTCTAGTGTCTGATCCTTGTTACTCATTTTAAACGAAATCAATCCTGAGGACATGGAGCCAATGAGAAATAATACCTGCTTCCAATTTATGCCTTGGATCTCTGACAGGCCCATACTCTGCATATTTTTCTAAGAATTTTAATAGTAATAATGTAGACGGATAATTTATGCTCAGCAACCATATGTAATTCAAAGTAAAGTAACATGGCATGTGTGGGTGTACAAAATAAATTGAGAAAGGCTTTATTTAAAATAAAGACCTGAGAGGGGCCATGGACTCTCAAGTGGCAAAGCAACCCTCTCTTACAAAGCAAAGATTTATAAGTGTTACAGGCAATTAGGAAGTTATGGGCCTTCTCTTCTCTGGAATCAGGTATTGGAAATTGTGGTCACTGGTCCATCCCATGTTTGCTGCTCAACAGGCTGAACTCCCCTTGATCTTGAAATGTTCTGCACAGTAAATAGATTTCAAGGGCATCATAATTACTGGGCACAGAAGAATGTCAGTAGGGGTAAAATGTCCCTTCATGGTAAAATGTTCACTGGCTTTTATATTCCATGGAACTTTTGGACATTTTCACATTTTGGACAGACAAAATAATTTGGGGAACGAAATAATCATACCCAGAGAGAAAGAACATCATTTATTATTGAGAAACATTAACAGATTTACATGTATAATATAGTACAACAGATGCAAAATTAGGATAATATATACAGCAAAGCAGAATAATGACAACTTCTTTTACCTCTTCTAGTGCTAACGGCTACATTTTCTAACAACCTGCTATGTATCTGGAGACTACAGAACTAATTCCAGGAATGTACTTAAGCATAGCAAGAGAGCATGTGGTCTGTAACCTTAGAGATACAGTTTCATTACTAAAATTGGAGAGTGTTTCTAATCCTTAGAGCATTTTACCATTCTTTAAAGTTGAAGAGATTTAGGCTTTTTTTCCAAGAAAATTTCATTAATAATCTCCTTACCTTTATCAATGAGAAAATGAGTGTCATTTATCCTTACATATCTCCATTAGATCATTGTTACTAATATAAATTTCATCACTAAATTCACAGGATTTCTTAATGCAGCTTTCTGAACATTTATGGATCATAGAATTGTTGGAGTATCTCAGGACCTTATAGAAAACTTCTCTGCCATTTTTGATGTTACTTATTTGTTTGTACATTTCATGGAAATTTGTGCCCCTTTCTAGAATGTTTTTAAATACTTGAGGTAAAATACATGGAAGTACAAAAAGAAACATTATTAACCTATCATCTACATATTTAAAAAGCAAAGTTGGTAAAATACTCACTTAATTATGTGCCTCTCTGTTAACGCATAAAATAACCAGATCTACACATCCAAGATACAACACTGTGAAAAAGAAGCGATATGTTTAAATGATATGTTGAGATATTGACAATTGAAATGTTACATGTATAGATAGTATATGTCATGTCACTTGTTTGTTATCTGAATTCATATTATGAAGAAATGTTAAGGCTTGGTCGGAAGTTACAAAAATGAAGATCAAACTTTTTGTGTGTCTGCGTTCCACAGTCCTTGAATCCTGTCTATGTATCCTACGTTAAGAACGCATCTAAGGGACACGTGCGATGAAATTGGTCTTTTCCACAGATCATGGAGAATCCCAAGCTTCTACCCAAAGGCCTTAAAATCTCAGGGATGTAATGATGAGTAAAGTATTTATCATTTTGAGGAGTTCTTAAAACTTAATTTAGGAGCATTTCTTTTAAGAAATGAATCCTGCGGGAAAAACAGTCACCATAGTGTAATACAAGATAATGTTTGATTGTTCTTAAGATGCAATTTACATATTATTCTAAATCAATATAACATATAGAAAGCATACAGCTTACCCAAGGTCACACAGCGGTTGTGTGGAGCATGCTCCTGAAACTGGATGATATGAGCCTGGCTGCATGGAGAGATAGCAAATGTTAACAAACACAGACTGGTGCTTAAGGATACAATCAAGCTATAAGCTTCGAATTCCCAAAACTAGGATCACTTACCTTCGGTATCTACCTATGTATAAATCCTCAATGCGGCCCTCAATGCTTTTAACCTGATTAACTTGTAATTCTGTAATCTTCACATACTGTCACCTCACTGTGCTTGTTTGCCAAGGAACCCTGCTTAGGTAACTACACATACATCAATCAGTAACATGGGATTCTTAGGAAGGATATGAATTGCTGAAAAATACATTTAAAACGTGTAATAAAGGACAACAGCCTGTATTATTTCATATTCTGCGAAATCTGAAGTATCACCACAGCTTCAGCCTTCTTCCTAAAGCTTTTACTAATTGGCCTTTTCCTAGCTGCCGCAGTCTCAGCTGTTACCTCTGGCTCCTCCCCTCTCCACCAATACGAGCTGGGAGGGGTGTGCAGAGGGGCGGGAACTGTGCTTCCCGCCCCCGCCCCCGCCTTGAAGTTTTCAAACAGGTCCGATACCCTACTATTAAAATTCTGCGCTGGAGCTGCTAGAGGCGTTGTGCTTTTTCTTGAGTGACTACGCTTTTGATATGTCTGGTCGCGGCAAGGGAGGTAAAGGCCTTGGCAAAGGCGGCGCCAAGCGCCACCGCAAGGTACTGCGCGATAACATCCAGGGCATCACCAAGCCCGCCATCCGCCGCCTGGCTCGGCGCGGCGGCGTCAAGCGCATCTCCGGTCTCATCTACGAGGAGACGCGCGGGGTGCTGAAGGTGTTCCTGGAGAACGTGATCCGCGACGCCGTCACCTACACGGAGCACGCCAAGCGCAAGACGGTCACCGCCATGGACGTGGTCTACGCGCTCAAGCGCCAGGGACGCACTCTCTACGGCTTCGGCGGCTAAGTCTTCTGTGTCCTGTGCTCTCAAACAAAAAGAAAAGGTCCTTTTCAGGGCCAATTATTTGTTTCACGCTAAAGAGTAACACGTTTAGTAGATACTTTATACCACAACTTCAAACTGCCAGGGTGAAAAAGCTAGTGCTGAGAGTATGCTTTACATGAAAATTGAAAGCCAAATATGTTTATAAGAAAAAGCTCCACAGTTTTTTAGGTTCTGAGAAGCCTTAAACAGAATGATGCTTGCGATAGTACCACCTATCTTACAGGTTTCGTACTCAATAGAACTGTTTGCTAACTATTTTGACAAGTGCGTATTATGGGATACTGTTTTGGTAAGGACTACTTGTAACGTGACAGTAGTGATCTAGAGAATAAAAGCACTTGACCTTTTGAATATGTACTTAAGGCTGAGAACTACAAGTTTTTGCAGTTTTTTTAGTTTAATCTTTCCCTCTAGCAAGTTGGAACCAGTGTTGTGGCATTCATTATATAGGATAACCTCCTCTTCAGGCAAATTCTGCATCTTTTTCCCTCTTAACCTATTGCCCATCTGCCACAGGATGATGCAGCAAGAACCTTGCCAGACACCAGCTGTTGGTCTTAACAGCCTCTCCATCTGTGAGAATAGATTTTGTTTCATTATTAATTGCCCAGTCTCCGTTGTTCTGTTATGGCAAATGTCTTTACTATGGTAAGGGCTCGATAAATGTCAGCTATTTGCTCTTTTCATATAACTCCCTTAACCCATGAGTTATTTCAGCTGTCTCTTACAACCAACTCTAATAATTTCACCATCGTTATTGCTAGAACCTGGCTTTTTTTTCCCTTGCTTTCCACTTTTTAATCTCATGAAATCCGTTATTCACATTACAGTTTAAAAGATGCTTATAATCCTTATACTGTGCTATGACACAATATTCTGGGTGCATCTTTGTGGCACATAATTTATCACGTTTAACCTTCACCATCATAGTTTAACATTTTGTCACTAGTATCTTAGCACACAAGCCTATTTCTTTAGCATAAACTCCTCTCTGTAAAATGTGTATATATATTTTCTCAGCAGCAGTACTTACCTTGGCCTGGAACCTTTATTTCCTAGATTTTTGGTTGCTTTAATGAATCACCTAGTCAGGATCATGTAATTTTGGTTTTATTTTATTTCTTCACAGCATCCACAAGTCTGTATTTGAAGTATTCTGCTGAAGGGTCAATTTGTTTATTATTTTTCTCTGACCAGGATATTTTAGCCCAAGACAGCTAACTATTTATTGTTGTGCCTCACACTTGGCACAGAAGAATTATAACAGTTTTAAAACCAGAATGGAAACTTCAACTGCTCTGTTTGTTTGCTTTGTATCCCCTGGCCCATTTGCTTAAACTTCTATCACTTTTCACTGCCATTTCACTCCAGTCTGTCCAGTCGCCTGCCACTAAAAGCCAACTAATCAACTCAGTCTTTGTTCAGAATCTTTCTTCAACTTTTCATGACCTACGTAATAAACCTAATCTCGTTATTTGGCATATAGACCTTTCATGACTTTATAACTTCATCTTTACCAGAAGGAAAACAACACATTGTGGGGAGGGGGCGTTTATTAAACCTGTTTCTCAAGGGAAATTTTTAGTAAGGTGAATTTGTAGGTCTTACCCCAGACCTAATGAAACAGAAACACTCTGATTGGGACTAGTATAGTTCTTTTAAGAAGCCTTAGCAGGTGGTTCTTGTGTGCAGTGCAGTTTGAGAATCACTTCGCTATGTCCTTCTACATAATTCTGTGCTTGCCACTAGAATATGAGTGAATGGCTACTGACCGACAGCCTCCAGTGGGCTCCTTTTGTCTGTCCAGAATGTTCTTGTATGAGACACTACAGATGCCTAATGAAACCTCATTACCTTTCCTTTCTCTCTAATACACCTTTGATTTTGCTTAGTTAACCCTTTATTTTGAGCCTTGTGATCTGGAGGAGGTAGAGGTCTGGCATGCTATTTTAAGAGTCTTGTCATGGATTGACAGAGAGCATTGTGTTGCTTTCTCAGTCGCTACACTTGTACCATGTCTGGAAGAGGCAGAGAAGGCAATGAAGGCAAAGGTGTGGTGAAGAGTCCTATTTTTTATGAGTTCTGAGTGGCACAGTGTCTCTTGGTTCTTGCCAGAGACACCTGGGATGTTCTACACCCATGCTAAGGACTGAACCCTGGGTCTTTGCTTGGAGCTATATCCCCATCCCATTTTTTTTTAAGACAGTCTTGTTAAATCAGTACATTGCCCATGCCAAACTCCCACCTGTGATCCTATTGCAATTCAACATGTGGTCCTCCTGACTCACCTTCCTAGGGACACCAGGTGTGCACCAACATGCCAGACCTGCCAGCACCCTCTTGTACCAGGTCTTCCACACATTCCTGAGCCCCACATGGGCCAAGTCTTAGTTTATTATTAGGAAGATCACCAAGGACCCAGAGACAGGTTCTGTGCTGGCTTTTCTTCAGGTTTAATCTGCAAAATGTGAAGAAACAAAAAAATGAGTATCAGACAAACCTCCGAGTACAACAGGAAAAAGCATTTCCAACTTCTCGGCTGACATACTCAAAAGGAACTTTTTTTAAAAAGATTTTTATTAAGTTTACAGATACATTTTAGGTTTACATAATGATCTCATTCATTATAGGGAATTTGTGCCTGCATACCATATAACTTGATTCTTTTTTTCTTCCCATTCCCCAACCCTTCTTTCAACCTCTCTTCCCTTCTTTATTTACAAAAGCTTTGTTTTCCTTATTTCTCGAAAGGAAATTTTAAGCTTTCCTAAATATTGTCTTAATCTCTAAATCAAATTGTATAGAAATATTCCATAGTTATCACTAAAGCACATAAATCCTGGAATGCTACTGGAATATTCTCTATTGCAGGAAATATTCTATGCTTCTCAACCATAAAAAAATACCATTATGGTGATAGTTTACAAAACATACATCCTTTCCCTGACGTAAACATTCCTCACCTCATCATTTTTGAACAGGTAGCTAAAAGAAATCAAGAATTCAGTTCTAAATCTCTTGCTCTGCTTTGGACATGTAAGAGAATGTTTACTATGTGAAAAACTGTTTTTGGAAGAATTTTTGGCTAAACATTTAGCAAATCCATGGTGTGTCTTTACCTGTGATTAGTGGGTTCTATTTTTAAAAGCATTAAAATTTAAAAAGACCTACAAAGCACAGAAATTTATTGAGAACACAAAAATTGTTATTATGATATGCTGTTTCCCATCAAATATCGCTATGGAAAGAAGTTAACTGGGTGGTAAAATTAAGAATGAATGTGCCTTAGGGGCTGGGGATTTAGCTCAGCAGCAAAGCGCCTGCCTGGCAAGCTCAAGGTCGTGAGTTCGGTTCCCGGTACCGAGAAAAACCAAAAAAAAAAAAAAAAAGGATGTGCCTTAAATTGATACACAAGCCAAGTTAGCCATTGTAATGGGGGCCAGATATTAAGACTGGGGTGTTATTAACTGGTGAACAATTGCTTTCCAAAAGAAGTTTTAATAAAATTGACATTCAAAATAAAAGAATACGGAACAAACAGAAGTTATTATTTAGTGTATTACTGGTAATAAAAATGAAAGGCAGAGTTCATGCAATGTTAATATGTAGTTTTCCTACCTTAAATGGAAACTATCCACATTTATTAACTGGCTGCAGTGGGTCAGAAGTCTTGTAAAAATAAAAATTATTAAGTATTTACTATATAATTATCAAAGAAACAACTGTCAGTCTACCAGTACTAAATTAACAAGGAAAGAAAGCTTCACAAATGTGGTAGAACCAATAATTTTCACATTAAGCTGCAATTTTAATCAAACAGTATCAGCACAGTCACGATCAGCTACCACTGAGAGCTTTGCCACTTGAGGTATCTGTTACGGTTTGTAAGAGGGCTAGCCTGGATAAGTTATAAGGGACAGAAAGAGGCCTGTCTCAGGTTGCTAGTCGCTTGCTATGTCCTGCCTTCTGCCTCCTGCCTGCCTGCTCTGTGATGCCTCTCTGCCTTGCCACCCTGCCTCATACCCAGCCAGCTATGAACTGAAAGCTCTATGAACTGTGAGCTAAATAAACCTTTTCTTTTAACTTTGCGGGTTGGGTATTTTGGCCTAAATAACGAGCAGAGTAATTTAGACACTGTCAAAAGGAAGCTGACACAATTTTACTGGTAGAATTTTAAATTTTTCATATTGAAAAAAAAACTTTGGGGGGTAGGGGCTGTTACCGGAGATTGACTCCAAAGCCTTCACATTGTGCTACATCCCCAGCATTTTGTTGTGTTCTGCTTCTCACCTAAGCCACTAGGTTGCCCACACTGGACTCAAACTGCTACCCGCTTGCCTTCAACTCTGATTCTAGGATTACAGTCCATGCCACTGCAACTGGCTCTGTTGGTAAATTGTATTGCACTACAGTTTTAGAAAACTTCACAGTAATGTCATTAACTCACATACATAAAAATATAACATTAACATTGGCAATGCCTTTGCTTGGCATTCAACTAATAACTTGTGTTTGTGCTACCAAGGATTTGCTATGGTTTGTGTCTGGATGCCCCCTCAAAGCCTCATGGGGTCATGGAGGGGCAGGCTTTCCTGAGGCAGTTGTATCTAGAGTTTGTGATTGGTCCATTGTCTAGTGCTGGGACTGGGGGTGTGAGTGCTGCTCCTGCTCTTGGGCTGCATACAGTATAAGGGAGGAAAAGAGGCTTGTTCCTCTCCGTCTGTTCTTGTTGCTTTTACTGTCTTCCATGGTCTTCAACCGTTGCTGCCGCCATGCCACCCTGCCTTAGAGCCAGCTGATTATGGACTGACACCGCTACAGAGACCTGAATAAAACTTTCCTCCTTTAATTTTAGGTGTCAGGTATTTTTTCTCAGCAACTAGAAAAGTAACTAAGGATTTAACCCCAGTCCTTCATACTGAGCTATTCCTCCAGTCATTTTAACTTTCAAAGTCTCATTAGCTCTCTAAATTGCCCAGGTTGGGCTCAAACTTTTTAATTAATAATGTGGAGTTAGCCACACATGCATGAACAGACACACACAGAAAAATTTCAAGGTTGTAATTGCAAATGTCTTACAACAAGATAATGCCTATAATCTCAACACTTGGGAAGCTGAAGCAATCGGGTCACTGCACGTTCCAGGTCAGCCCAGCCTAGAGAGTGAGACCCTTCCAAAACAAATAAACAAACAATGAATAAAAAGAATTGTGATTTTATTCAGAGATCACATGTCTTTTGGGGAAAGAGGGGGTTTTTTGGATGGGGGGCAGGGTCTTGCTGTGTAGCTCAGGCTGGCCTTATACTTACTATGAAGCCCAGGCTGGCCTAGAATTTACAGT